ATGTGTGTGTGTGTGTGTAGTATTTTCATCTATGTTAATGATTTGTTATATCAAAGTACATGTATACTATTTTATATTTACATATATCTATAAATATATGTATATATATTCATTTGTGTGGCTATTGTAGGACATACTTTCGATGCCGTTGAAGCGAAAACGGATCGAAGATATGAAGTTTTCTCTAAGGCAGGTGGATGAAGAAATGAAAATTTACGAATTGAAAAGCGCCAACTCGCAATATACCTTACAAAATCATCGTCGGCACAGTGTGCTGTTCCGCTGAAACCCTAAAAAAACCTAAAGATCACAGATATGACTTACTTTTTGTTTTCTTCAGAACAGTACACTGTGCCGGCGATGGATTTGTATTGAATATCGCCCGTTGACGCTTTTCAATGCGTAAGATTTCCATTTCTTCTTCCATCCGTCTTAAAGAAAACTTCATGTCTTCGATCCGTTCTCGCTTCAACGGCATCGAAAGTATGTCCTACAATAGCCACAAAATGAATTGGATCGGGATTTCAAGATTTGGTTTATAACAATACAATTGCATTCTTTCATCCTCTCGCGCACAAACGGCACTAAATGTTCTACCATATATAGCCACCAAATTAAAATCAAAATTGTAGGGTTTTACCGTAGAGCTCGAGTTTTTCGAAATGTTACTGTATGTGGCGTAGATGTCGTTATTTGCCTTTGAGAAAATTTATTGAAACGATGAACAGCAAGAACAAGATTTACATTGTGTCCCATATACCTTTGCAAGCTCGTCTACCAACATCTGATATTCGTCACCTGTGCCGAAGTAGCCTGCGCTGTACAGCTGAGTGAGCCCATTCCGCACACACTCCTGCACAGGTAGACGCAAAGGTAAATATCATATAATATATCACTCACAAGATTAGAGCAAGATACTTGGGATGCTTTTTCAATGCGACGCAATAGCCCATCGAACAGTCACAACCCCCAGTGAATTTCAATTTCAAGCCTTCTAAATTAAACAGGCTATGCGAATTTTGTATATGTCCCGTTTCTGGCTGACATTCTTTATTTACCATGTGCACGTACATTCAGTGATAACGATACTCCCTTTAGTAGAGCGATCAAAAATACTTATACGAGATCGAGATTCTCGAAAACAGTACCATGAAACACTGGGAAACCTAAAACTGGCAACGCACATATGTTGCAGATAGAAACTTATCGTTGTATACTATTAGCCAACGTATCGTTGTATCCGATTAGCCGTTGCTGACAATCTCTGCGGGTATTTCATATACACATATGTATCCTTTGCTGGTATCATATACACCCTTGCTTAAGCTTTTCTGGAATCACGTATACATGTGCTTGATTTTGTGATGGGAAGATGATCTGTAATTTAGGTCTTGTTATATAATGTATGTTTTGTTGATGACATAACTAGTTTAGTACCGCTTTTACATTACCTGAATTTCCATCAGCGACTTCCCTGTAATAGTTGTATCCTCCTCAATTGCAGACTCTACCGAACCTCTGGTAGAACCTTTTGATTTCTCTCAACTAGTAATGGACGACATCTCAGAGTCAAGAACACTATCGTTTGA